ACTAATTTCCTTTCATCTCTCACACTTCTATTATAGAGAAAGGGCAAATAGCAATATTAAAATATCTCTGCTAATTAATTCCCTTTTTTAAAAAATATATTTATTTTTTACAGAGAAGAAGGGAGAGGGATAGAGAGTTAGAAACATCGATGAGAGAGAAACATCGATTAGCTGCCTTCTGCACACTCCCCACTGGGGATGTGCCCGCAACCAAGGTACATGCCCTTGACCAGAATCGAACCTGGGACCCTTGAGTCTGCAGGCCGATGCTCTATCCACTGAGCCAAACCGGTTAGGGCAATTAATTCCCTTTTAATGTGCATGAATTTCGTGCACCGGGCTACTAGTTTTATATAAAGGTAGTTTGGTATCCATGGGGAATCCTGGAAACAGTCTTTCACAGATGGTAAGGGATGATTGTGTATTTTTATTATTTATTTATTTTTATTGATTTCAGAGAGGAAGGGAGAGGGATAGAGAGATAGAAACATCAGTGATAGAGAATCATTGATCGGCTGCCTCCTTCATGCCCCCTACTGGGGGAGATTGAGCCCGTAACCCAGGCATGTGCCCTTGGCCGGAATCAAACCTGGGACCCTTCAGTCGGCAGGCTGACTCTCTATCCACAGTGCCAAACCAGCTAGGGCTGACTGTGTATTTTCAAAAAGAAAGTTGAAACCATTCCTCTCTTTTTAGTTCACAATGACCTCATTTAAGTAATGTAGCAAATGTGTACGGGGAGAAAGAAAATGGATGCTGGAGGGAGGGAACAGAATATTAATTGGTGGTTTTAGCCTGCCAGGGGCGGGACCTACATCTAGAACTGAAAGTGTGAATAAGAACGCCACACCTCTTAGCCACTTCTGTGCATTTGACTTCTGTGGGAGCTTGGTTTGTTCGCTTTCAGGATGTGCTGCTCACTTCCCTTTGTTCACACAAAACCCTGCAAGTGTCCCAGCAGAGCAGCTCCCAGAGTGGGGTAAAGCATCAAGAACTGCCCTCCAGCAGCAAAATGTATATTCCTGCACACAGTGAGCACAGCGCTGGGGTTTGCAGTGGTCTTTGGGGACTTCTCTTTCAGATACTGCCTTCCAGGGCTTTCTGGGAAAACGAAATTTTTGAGTAATATCCTGGCCCCTCTGACAAAACCAGTAAGGCAGCAAGGCAGAGGGAGATGGGAGTCCAAGATGAATGCAGTCCTCCTGGTCAGACACATTTATGGGTTAACGTTAAGTCTTTTGGATTTTTCCACAACCATCAAAAGCCTAAAGTTTATGACCTATTTTCTGCTCTGCTGGGCTTCCTCATGTTTCATTCCCTTAGCATGGAAGCGGGAGGTGACTGTCATTTGTTCCTATGTCAAGAAAGCCCAGGGCTTACCTTTTTATCACCCCTCCGTCTCTTCTAACCCTCCACAGCTGTGGCTTTTAACAAAGCTGTCTAGACATGCATAGGGGTGCCCTCTCAACCCTGCACCCCAGTGTGTCACTGGCTGCCCCAGCTCCAGTCTGTCCCCAGCTGAACCTGAGAAGTGCCTTACAGGAGTCTAGACAGAGTCCTGAAGAAAGAGGGGTCATTGCTCCTTTCATGTGCGGGAATTATTTATTGAATTGCTGACCTTGCTATCAGAAAGCAGTTAGAAATGCGGAAAGCGCTGCACAAAGTGAGTGGGCTATTCAAGGACTGAGAGACACTGGCACAGTTGTCAAAAGTTTTAGAGAAGAAAGAAAGGGAAGACAGAACTAGCCCTGGGTTGGGCCCACCACTCGATGGATGACCTCACAGCTCTCTGCAGTGTGGGTTTTATCGCATATAAAACTGGAACGTTGGTTCCTACCACCAGATTGTTAAAAGGATGCGATTATAATGCGTTATTGGTACAAAATGAAACTATCTTTTGGGATTGGTCATTATTGTCTTGAATTATTTTCTTGGTCCTCATTTCTGGTTCTCTTAACCAGGCCCTGAGCAACTAATGAATTCAGTTCCTCTAGTCTTCTCATTCCCCTCCCAGCTCATCTGGTATCAGTGCTGAAGGCTGCCCCTCAAGTTCCACAGTAAGACCTGGGTTTTGAACCTTGGCTTTCTGTGCCTGTGGTCACTTTGAACCCTTCTTGTGAGCCTTCCTTACACTGGTTTGTGCTCAGTGCTGTGGTTGAACTGACCTTTCCACCTTGCCTGCACTCAGCCCTACATCTAAGTTTGTGTAATTGAAGCCTCCTTGCCTCCCCATCTAATAGGGCAAGCATGTCAAACTCAAAGGCTAATACAGGCCAAATAAACAAGGCATGTGGCCAACGGGCCCCAATTTTGACATGCTTGTAATAGGGTCATTCTTCTCTACTGTTTTGAAGAAGTTAAGAAACCAACCCAGAGGAGTGGAAAGAACTAAGGTTGTCATCCTAACTCTGCCATTTGCTAGCTTTTCCTGTTCTTATCTGTAAAATGGAATGTTAATCTACCACCAGGGATCTTTTGGAGTATTAGAACAGGCCTCATCTTTAGGAATTATCTAGAACAGTGCCTGCCACATAAGTAGGTGCTCAGTAAATATCAGTGTCTTCCTTGCTATTACATGTGGTCATATACACGACAGCCAGTTATCCCGTCGTGCTGCATCTTCCTTGTACATGAAGATGATACACTTCCCTTCCATCACATTCTGGGCTTCATGAGTTGTTTTTTCAAAAGTTGGATTTGTGCCTTAGCCCTGGGGATAGCCAACATAGGTTGTTGATTCAGCAAGTCAGCTGGGTTTTTAGACAGATAATGTGTGGCTGTGGTACAGAAACTATAGCTGGCTTGTGTGGGAATTGAACCCATGATTCAACCCAGGCACTGCATTTGATGACAGCAGCACCTTTGAGGCATCAGAGAGTGTACCATTTGCTTCTGAGCGCTCTCACTCTCGTTTGACTCTTACAAGAGTTCTGGGACATAGACAGATTCTCACTCTACAGAGAAGAAAATGAGACCCTAAAAAACAGTCATACCGGTATCACACCAGTAGTCATTGGTAGAACCCAGGACAGGAACAGGAATGCCTTGATTTTTCTATAGGACTTCTGTAAGGTTTTGAACCCAGATGACAGCCATAGTTCTGGCTGTCCCAATGAAAATTTAGTGCTCCACCACAGAATCCTCCAGTTTTCCTGTCACGTGTATACTTGGTATCCATTTCTTACAGAATATTCATTAATTCATTGAATGAGTGTGTGCTGGGTACTCTAGGCACTGAGGATACTGTCAGAAATGAAAGACATGGACAAAACCCCTGCCATGCCCCGATGAAGCTTCTGTGGTAGGAGGCTGACCATAAACAAGTAAGAGAAAGGTAGTATTACTGTAGAGAGGACCAGCCCTGAGGAGTGCTGTGGGGACAAACAAGGCAGAAAGAAAGCTGGGGTGGGGTGAGGCAGACACTGTGAGTTTTCTCTTAGATTCCTTGTGCTTATGGTCTTATCCATGTGATAAGCTCTCCGAGGAGAGAGTAAGGCTGCGTTCGTTCCCTGCGGGCCCATCATGCCTAGTACAGATTCCTGCATATCAGGGCTTTTGGATTTTGCAGTTGAGTCAGCCTAATGCAGTAGAAGCAGGCACAGGGGCTGTCTGCTTACCCACTAAGATGCCCAAGAACTCCCAGAGCAGAGCTGGGTTGCCTGGTTTGTTGGGGCTCCAGCCTGTGCTGTAGTTTCCTTCCAGATCATTTTTAAACCTATAGCTCCCCCTGCTGTTAAAAAATGGGATGGTCTCCCAACTCATCTTTTGAAATAGGTGTGTGTGTGTGTGTGTGTGTGTGTGTGTGTGTGTGTGTGTGTGTGTTTAACACCAAGATTTAATTAGTATTATTATTATTATTTAATAAGTACTACTGGGACATTTGGAGCTTTGTTCTGGAACTGCTGTTGCTGAAGCCCAGGGTTGGGATGGAGGGAGGAAGCGCCAAGGCCCAGGCAGGATAGGTCATATCTATGCTCTGGCTACTTTTAGCGCCTCCCTACCCTGCACTCCTACCACAGCCAGCAGCCTAGCAGCAGTTATCTTCACACACGGTTCCGCAGCTGTTCTGAAATTCCAGGGCAGCAGCAGTGAAACTGACCGCTGTCTGTGCCTTTTCCCTTACTGCTAGTGTTCCCTACTTGAAGTGAGTCGGGCCTTTCCCCCTCTTGTCCTCAGGGTGTCCCAACTCGTCATTTGTCACTTTAGCCAAGTTTTTGACACAGAATTCTCTTCATGGTGCCGAATTTGTAGAGGGTCCTATTTGGGTCTCCCACCCTCAGTGTTGTTTGCTGAGTCGAGAGCTGTGGTCCCGGTGGTGGTGGTGGTGGCGGCGGCGGCCCCAGAATAGAGCGGAGTCCCTGACGGGCTGCAGAGAGCCCTTTTTGTCAGCTGCTGGTTGTGTGTGTGCACCAGGGTCAAACCTACAACCACTGTGAAGTTCCTTTAGTCCTTAGAGATGAAATTCAAGTTTAATTTTAGCAGCACTATTAATATCAGCTGAAATGAAGAAGGAAATGGCACCCAAGTAGACATGTCATTTTGTTTAACAGCCCCATTCAGTTTGGTCACTTTGTGGTTCCTCATGAGATAGAAGTCAGGTGGACCCGACACGCAGCTCTGATCCTTCCCACGTCCCCATCTCCCCGAGAGTAAGGTGAGGCCCAGTCGCTGTTGGTGGAGGTTGGCCGATCAATGAGGATTGTGCGGCTAATGGGTCCAGGATATTTTTTAGTTATATTCGATGGAGGCACTTTATAGAGCTTAAGCTTAGGCCAGTGACTACTCCTATTAGGAAAAAAGTAACCACCATTATTTTAATGGGGCAGCTGAACCGTAAAGTGTACGCTTACTCAGGTGCCATTTTCTTCGTCGTTTCAGCTGCTGTTAATAGCACTGCTAAAATTAACTTGACTTCAAGATGCCTTCTCCATGGTAAGTTGTAGCGGTAGACATGATGCTTCACTAATAAAGGAATTCTTTTCTGATTCCTCTCCCAACAGCTTTGAAAAGTCCAGCTGCGTTTCATGAACAGAGAAGGAGCTTGGAACGGGCCAGGGTAAGGCACGCATTCTTCTCTAGGGCCTCTGAAGAGATTCCCAGAGCCCCTTGCATTGCCGGTCACGTTCCTCCCAGTCTAGCGTGCCTCCAGGGCCAGCCCATGCCTCACAGTTCTAATTAGCAAGCTCTACCTTTTCTGCTTCATCTCCACACGGCCATCTCCCAGCGCGATGATGCAGAACGTGATCAGAAGTTTTCTCCTTTATTGCCTTTAAGAGTATGTAGTGCTCACCGAGCCTTTCTCCTGTTGCTTTGGAGACACTAGTCTTTCCCATGTATAAACTCCACCATAACCTTTTGTGGACATTAGGACATGAACAGCATCGGTGGTCCCTCCATGTCAGTGGCTGCACTGCCCACACCTCTCCAGGATGGCATGCACTGGTCTTCATGTGTCCTCAGCAGCCAGTGTCCACTAGAGGCTGTGGAGGCAGAAGCTAGGCCCCCTCTGAGCCCAGGTTCGTGCTGTTGCACCTGGCTTGCTGCCTATTCCCTTGCTTTCAGTTCCCTCAGGGGCCTCAGGGGGATATTCTGCCCAGTGTGGGCGGAGATGGGGAAGTCGCCAAAACACGCTTCCCCCTCGCACCCCCTTCACTTTGGTCGTTCCCGTAAAAGACAAGGGAAGAGAACCTCCCAAAGGGAGGGTCACAGACTGAGGTACCCCAAGACCCACAGCTCTTTCAGGGACGAAAATGTTTACCTCCAAGACTTTCCTTACTACCTCCTCTTTTTAAATTATTTTTTTTTAATGTTCTAAGGAGAATCATGATTAATTCTTAGAGAGAACGAGAAGAATGAGGTCATGGGTACTGGGAACCAAAGCAGTAACAAACTGCACTGTTGTAGTGCCGGGAGAGTTAGAGAATATGGGGGTAGGCGAGGGGGGAGGGTAGGAAGGGCATTGCCTGTGCCCCCAACCCATTTGTAAGTCTTGGCACCACTTCCTGACTGCATCTCAAGCAGGCAGGGAGGGAGTAAATATGAGCCAATTAGAGCAGCTGTTATTTTATTGAGTACTTTTCATGTAAAATTATATCATTTTCTTATTTATGCTCACATCAGCTCTTATGAATTAGGTGTTATTATCATTTTCATTTATAGTTGCAGCTAAGAGAGGTTAAGTAATTTTTCCAGCTAGCAAGTGGCAAAGCTGGGACTCAGACCTTGGTCTGTGGACTCCAGGTATTTTCTTAAGCAGTACTGTATTCTGCCTTGGCCTTGGCCACTGCTCAGAACTTCAGGTGGCTTAGAAAATATGTCTGCTCTGCAGTGTCTGGCACCTGTTCTAGCATCTTCTACAGCAGCCAGAGCAGTTTTTCTGCCCACTGCAGATGGGGTGATAGATCCAGTGCCCTCAGCCGCTTTAAACCATCTCATGGAGAGCTCGGCACCAACCCAGGCTGGCACAGGTTGCCCAGTCAGAGCCCAGGCACCTGATAGGGACCAGGCAGGACAGAACCAGGTCTTTACACGCTTTCCTACGTGCAGTGTGCTCTGATACTTTTTCTGTTTTTACTCTCCTCTGCTCTACCCTACTGTACCTTATCCTATCCCATTCTCTGCTGATCTTGAACCACTAATGGTCTTGACCTATGGTTTGAAAATTTCTGGTACAGAGGTTAAGAGCCCAAGTTCTGGAGTCAGACAGATCTGGGGTCACATTATAACATAAGCGCCAGGCAGTGGGGCGGCTTGGGACTGTTGAAGAAATGGCTTAGTTTGCTTGGAGTCTCAGAAATGCGGAAATGATTACATTGGACTTTAAGGAACTAGAGTTTTGACACCATGTATCAAAATTAGTATTCTATTTGGTAGTCATTCAAAATGAGTGGGAAATGCTTATAAGATCATGCAAATTTTTTGAAACAAGATATAAAATTATATTCAGTATTATTACAGCTCTGCAAAATCAAACTTGTCTTCCACATGGACGAATGATTAGAAATAAATATCCCAAAATACTAACAATAGATGATTAAAATGTTTTATTGTCATTTTGCTTGGTAATTTTCCATTTTCCTTGATGAAATAATACTAATTTTATAACAGTAAAAGTAATAGAGTTTTAAAAATATATATCAGTAGTCCAACCTCAGACCGACAAATATTCTTGACGGATGGTGCCCTTGGCTGGTGCACTTGGAAGTAGATACGTCCTCCCCTGGCTGCCCTGGGCCTCAGCACCCTGTAGTCTCCAAACTGAGATGGTGGGGGCTGCAGAGGTGACCAACAGCCACCGCTGCTTTTTGGCCCTGTCCATGCCATAAGCTTGTGATCTGGATTTGAGAGCTTTTTGATGTTTTTTTCCCTATAGACAGAGGACTACCTGAAACGGAAGATTCGTTCCCGGCCGGAGAGGTCAGAGTTGGTCAGGATGCACATTTTGGAAGGTGTGTTAAAATGGCAATGCTTCTAAACCCTGTTCTCACTGTGTGTTCACCGCCTCACCACCCACATTTCTTCTTCCCTTTCTTGTCACTCACATTTCTGTAGGCAGTGGGTAAGCCCGAGCCTTAGCACGCTGAAACAGCAGTGCTGTGGTTGCCGGGAATTCCCCTGGAAGCACGACACATTCTGCTGGGCTGGCTTATCCTTTCTCCTGTGGCCACAAGATGGCCCTGGAGCTGGTCATCTCTTGATACAAATTTTTCCCCTCTAAGATCTGTTTTTAAATGCGTTTGCTTTCTCTTTTTCATTCACTGATTCATTCATTCACTCAGCATTTACTTGAGCACTTGTGATGTAAAGTACGGTCATCCCAGACACACTCCACCTGGCTCCAGCACACGCTTCTCCCCACATTCTAGTGAAGGCAGTGGCTGCTGAAAGCAGTGTGAATCTATCCATTTTTTTAGTTTTGAGCTACCTTTGGGGTTGGAAGAGAACTTTCCTAGGGTGAACCACACATTTTGCTGATGAAGACTCTGAGGCCCAGAGCAGGGAGGTGAATTGCCCTGTAACACAGCAAGCTTGAGAAAGTCACTTTGCTGTCTAGTGCTCTTTTCAGCTCTGTAGCTCCACCTCAGGGAGTCCTCTGGCCTGGTGGCCATTGTTGTGTGTGGCCACACAGTCCACAGTAGGGGCTCCTTCTGTCCTCGTGAAACTTTAAGCTGGGCCACCCTTTTCCACCTGGGATGCGCTTTGCATTCTGATGGTCTCTGCTCCTTCCCTAGAGGGAAGGAGACTGCTCTGGAGTTGCCAGGGCAAACCCAGATCCATTTCTACATCCTCCTGCACTCCATTCTCTCCCACGGGCAGAGACCTCGGCTGAGCCTTCCCTTCAGGCCAAGCAGCTGAAGCTGAAGAGAGCCAGGCTGGCTGATGACCTCAACGAGAAGATTGCGCAGAGGCCTGGCCCCATGGAGCTGGTGGAGAAGAACATCCTGCCTGTGGAGTCCAGTTTGAAAGAAGCCCTCATCGGTGAGGAAGCCAGACACCCTGTGTGCACTTGCAGGCCAGAAGCAGAGGGTGGGGGCGGGCTCTGGACTTCTTGCCCTTCAACTTCTTGCTTTGACTTGGGGAACTGAGGTACAGAGTGCGAGAGCCTGATAAACAGGTTGTGTTACTTGGAACAGTGCCGGGGCCACAGGGATCAGCGCCATGGCAGCATAGATGCATAACAAAGAGGCCTGTCCACCTTCATCTCTGTAAACCCAGGCTGATTCCTGTCTCACAGGGTAGGTGGGTGTCAGGATCGATGTGTGTAAATATGCGGAAATGCCAGAGATTAGAAATCTGTACCTTACTGGGTTTTTTATCAGTGAAATCTCTTTTTGGAGCTGGCACTTTCCACAGGTATTTCACTTTTCAAATATTGATTGATCCAAGCAGTGGCTAGGTGCTAGGACCACAGCCCCAAAGGCCCTTGGCCTTACAGAGCTCACGTCTAGTAGCAGACACAGGCAGGTAAAATAGGCAGAAGAAGTTCTGTGCTGGAGGGGGCACACAGAGAGGGCCTCCCAACCTGACCCTGCCAGTGGGGTGTGGTGTCAGAGGCTGGGCTGGGCTGCAGGGGAGTAAAAAGGAAAGTGCGTGCATGGGAGTGAGGCAGAGTGTGATGTGGAGCTGGAAGGTGGGCAGGGCTTCATGTGTCCCAGTCAGGTGGTTAGACGTGATTCCCTTAGATTTTGGGAATTGTTGGTACAGATATGTCTTCTTTGCAACCGTGGACCCAAAACCTGAACCTGGGCAAGGCTGTCTGCTCCTGCCCTTGGGAAGTAGCTGTGCCTTCAGGGGAAGGAGGCTCAACTGCTCCCGCCATGGGCAGGGTACGAGAGGAAAACCACAGGAGTGGACCCCAAAGCATGGCGAGTTGTGCTCTGAGCCTGGGTCAGAGGGGACTGTAGTTTCTAGGGCTTTATCTGCACTGTAAACGGTGGAGCCACAGTGTAGGAGGAGCCACTGTGCTGGAGGTGGGCACACCTTGGGCACCCAAGAGCCCTTTTATTCACTGCTTTGCCCTGGCATCCACCTGCCTCATCTCAGTGTTTTCCTACCCAGATCTTCACCAGATTCCACAACAGCTCCTAGTTTACAGGCCAGTGTTTGAGCCAAGGTCAGTTCTGGACTCTTCAGCCAGCCAAGACCTGATAAATATTGGCCAAGAGTTGGCAATGTGCCAGGCACCTTATGAAGGCCTGCAGAGGAACAAACAATGATGCTTCCCTCAAAGAATGTGGTCTGATGTATAAACTGATGTATAAACAAGTAATCTCTGAGTCTGGCTCTGAGCAGTTGCCAGCATTGTGTAGCAGAAAGGCATGGGCCCTGTGACATAGCTGAGTCACATGGATTGTAGGACAAGGAGCCCAGCACGTCCTTGGTCCTGGGGAGGCTCATGGAGGGGCTGCTGCTGTTAGCAGTGCCGTCCATGGTGGACAGCATGGACTAGTGGACTGTGTGTCAGGTACAGAGGGAGCTCTGCCAAGATAGGCTTCTCTCAGGGCTGGGGGCGGTGGCAAGGGCTGGGGAATGATACGGCCCATTTGGGGTCAACCCGAAGGTTGAATCACATTGTCAAGTGGAGAACAGAGGACATTCCAGGCGGAGGGGACAGTAGGAGCAGTGCCTGGAGGCTTGGTGGGGTGCAGCTCGTTTAAGGCCTGGGAGTAGTTTAGTTTGTCACTGAGGTAATCACTGGTGACGGGAGAGAAGCATTTGCCAGCAAAAGGCAGATCATGCTGGTTGAGGAATGAGCAGGAGGTAAGGAAATGGTGACAGCAAATGTGGTCCATTTGTTCACAAGGTGAGGGGAGAAGGAAAAGTGAGGTGTGGTGGGTAGGAAGGGTGTTTAGGCTGGGAGAAGTGGAGCAGACTGTGACTGAGGAAGGAGTGGGGTGAGGAGGAGAAGAGGGAGGAGAGGGGAGGAGAGGGAGCTGAGACAGTTCTGGAACCTACAAGGGGGGCTTTTCTGTCCCCCACAGTCGCTTGCTCACACTCACACCCTTTCCTCCAGGCCACCCCCGGTTGATGTGTGAGTCATGCCAAGGCCCTCTCTTCCAGAGTTCCCTGAGCCTCCCTGCAGTGTCCCCTCAGCGTCCTTTCCCTTGAGTGGAGCATATACTGAGCTCCAAGGTGATGGCACCATAAACTCCCAGAGGCCTGGACCCATTTCTGTCCCTCCACACCCTGCACGCAGCCGACAGCTGGCACAGCAGAGAGGAGCGGACTGCTGGGACCCTGGCCTGCACCGGGCCTCGGGCTTCTTCAGTGCCAGCAGCTTCCTTGGGTTGGACGGCCCAGGGGTGCAGCTGCAGCTCTTCTTCCTGGTTCCATCATGTGGCTGCTGCTCCAGAGCAGACCCCTCCCTGGGAGTAGATCATGGGAGAAAATGTAGGTGTGTGACTGGCAGGAAGTCCACGGTGGCCAGCGACCTGACCTCCGTGTGCTGTGTGTGCCTCTGCTACGACAGGCGGGGTGGAGGGGCGAGCCAGCCCTGCCCTGGGCATTCTGGCTCCATCTCATAGTTAGCTGGTGGGGGAACAAACTAGGGGACTTCCTTCTTAGTCCCAGGGAGGAGAGAGCCAGGTCATGGCCCTGGAGGGGAGAGTTACTGGCTTGTTCTTGTTCCTTTTCTGTGGTCTTCCCACCACAGCCGACAGCTCACCTTCACGGCACGGCCACCGCCTCGGTTCCTCTGTGTGGACAGCCGTAGGTGCAGAACCTCTCCCCCGACCGCGCCGAGGCCGTGGCTGGGACATGGGTCTTTTGAAATATCCTACTTGCCCCTGTTACTTACTATCTTTCCTTCTGGCTGTATCCTGGGATTTCCATGCCAGGACCCTGCCCCTCCTACTTCTCCCTCTCAGCCTGGCTTCAGCCAGCCCAGGAGCACCTGCGCTCACGGCCACCGGCCCAGGGTGGGAGGGTGGGAATCGCCATAGGATGGGTTTTCTGCTGGCCTTGGGACGCTGCGAGTCACTAAAGGGAGGCCACCATACTCACAGTGGGCCCGTTCCACTTGTGTAGGCAGCCCAGGGAGGAGCTGCACTCCAGAGCCCCTTCGCACACCCAGAGCCCTGACTGCAGGGCCCACAAGCCTCCGGGGGAGGAGAGGAGAGTTTTGTGCAGCCATAGAATGGAAATAAAACGCCTTTAATAGCAGGGGATCTGAGATAGAGGAGGCAGCAGGTTGCATGGGCGGGGCCCTGGGGTGGGGGTGGAGAACTTGACTATTAAGACTGACGGCAGTACAGCGTGAAAAGCAAGAGGCAGAACAGGCCTTTCCTTCTCAGGAAGCACTTTGCTGGCTCAGCAGGACTTCCCAGCCTGCACGCTGGTCTACCTTCTCCTGTCTGCCTCGCTGGGGAGTGGAGGCGAGGAGGCTGAGGGGTGTGGGGGCTAAGGAGCGGGCACCTTGCTGGGACAGCCTCTGGGTGGTGAGCAGCACCCCTCTCCCCCTTCCCTGGGGCCGGAAGAGGAGTCATATTCGGGCTTTGGCTTTCAGTGGGCCAGGTGAATTACCCGAAAGTGGCAGACAGCTCTTCTTTCGATGAGGACAGCAGCGATGCCTTATCCCCTGAGCAGCCTGCCAGCCAGGAGTCCCAGGGCTCAGTGCCATCACCCCTGGAAGCCCGAGTCAGCGAGCCACTGCCCAGTGCCACCTCTATATCCCCCACTCAGGTGAGCTGACCTGACCAACACGCTTCCCCTGCTCCTCAGGGCCCCAGACTTGCTGAGCTGCCCAGTTCGAGGTCCCTCACTTGGACTAGGCAACACAGGGAAGTGGGAGGGGTGTTTCCCTGGGAGCTCAAGGGCTGGCTGCTTGAGGGAAGGGAGGTGTCGGCAGTGGATGCAGTTTGTTAGCCTTCCTGGCCCACCCGTGTCCACTCATTCAGTTCTGTGATCTTTTCACCACCCTCTGTCTCTCCCTTTTCTAGTTCTTTGCCCCTGACAGTAATGGTGTTCAAGGAAGTGGCTGCCACCCACCTCCAGGCAGGGCAGGGCAGGGCTGGGATACACTGCCACCTGGGATGGCCCCGCCCTCTGGAGCAGCCAGAAAGGGAGGCATCCTCACTTCCCCTTCTCTCTCAGGTTGTGTCTCAACTCCCAGTGGGCCCAGAGTCCAGAGAAACGCTTTTCCTGGCAGAGCAGCCTCCTCTGCCTCCCAGCCTCACCAACGGAACCACGGTCCCCACCGCCAAGCCCACCCCCACGCTCATTAAGGTACAATTTTCCAGCTTGTACCCCGTGCCCCTCCTAGCCCTGCTGAGACTTCATCCCAGGGTAGGGACAGCTGCAGGGGGTCAGGGCTCAGCAAAGCGCTGAGGAATGTGGTAGTGCTTCCTGTTCTCGGGGATGCTGGCTGTCAGGGTTACAGCCCCTGTTTACGGAGCACGGTGTGCCAGGTTCTGGGCTGGGCTTTCAGGCCTGTAGCCCTGCCCTCCCCGTGGAAACATGCCCACCCGTCCCCTCTGGGTCACTGACAGCCTCGAGAGGCGGTGAGGAACCCTGTTCTGCAAGCGACACAACTGAGAAGTGCAGATGGACCCTCGGTCACTCCTCTGGCAGTGCCAGGCGTACGCTTCTCTTCTCGGTCAAGGCCTGACCTGAAATACCTGCAGGGGCGGTTGGGTTTACCATCAACCCCACGAGATACCTACTGGGGACCTTGCGTGGGGGACACTGTGCTGAGCACCAAGAACCGCTGCCCAGTCCTCCCTCCCTCAGAGCCTCCGCCTTAGAGTCTCGGAGACCAGAGGCTGTGCTTCTGCTGGGCAGGTGCCCTTCCTTCCCGGCCCTACTTGCTTCCCTGTCTCCCTCATTCTCTAGCCCCCCTGGCACACAGGCCCTGGCCCAGCTGGGCATCTCTGGTCATCCTTGGTCCTCTGCTCCTGTCACTCACAGCTGTGGGCTGACCAGGTGCGCGTTCTCTCCCCTTAGCTGAGCTCCTGCTGTGCCTGCTGCCTATTCATCGGTGGAGCTACCTGGTGCCCTCCTGTGCGGGCTGTGCCCCAGGCCGTTTCCATGGTCTCTGTGAGGCCTCCCCTAGTCCCAGAGGAAGCACCAGCACCTGGGCCTGGTCACGGGTGCTCCAGAGCGCTTGCCGGCTCTGGGCTGCTCCCTCATCACAGGCACTTCTCTTGTCTCTGTGCTCTATTCCTGATTGGCCACAGATGTCAAAGGTTTTCCCCAAAAAATTCCTCCTTCAGACTTGCTTCTCGTCATATGACCGGTGCCTTCCTTTGACCACCACACATTTGAAAGAATGTGTATGTGTTTGTCTACACTTCCTCTCCTCTGGGGTGAGCCCCCAGACTCGCCAGTGAGCCCCCCTGAAGGCTTCCTAATTCCCCCAGCCCCCTCTGCCCCCCACGGGTCGTGCTCCTCGCTCCTCTTGCTTTTCCTGCCCTTCCTCTGCGGCTGCTCTTCCCTTGGCTTTTCCTCCTCTTCCCTCTCAGTGGGGTGCCCCAGGCCCAGCTCCCAGCCTCCATCCTTAGTCCCTTTCGGCTCCACCCTTCTGAAGCCGCTCTGGGTCGTCCTCCCCCCGCCCATCTTCACGCACCCAGTTGCTCTGCCAGCTTTGCCGTCTTCTCTTTCTATGCTCCATAGCAGCGGTTCTCAACCTGTGTGTCGCGACCCCTTTGGGGGTCGAACGACCCTTTCATAGGGGCCGCCTAAGACCATTGGAAAACACATATAATTACATATTGTTTTTGTGATTAATCACTATGCTTTCATTATGTTCAATTTGTCACAATGAAATTGGGGGTCACCACAACATGAGGAACTGTATTAAAGGGTTGCGGCATTAGGAAGGTTGAGAACTGCTGCTCCATAGCAAACTCAGAACCTCTACCTGACTCCCATGAAGGGACCACCATTGTCACAGTTGCCAAAGCTCAAAGCCATAAACCCTTGAACTGCTTACCTGCCTCATGCTCCTTTTGTCCCCTCTTCCTCTAGTCCGTCTACCCAAACCTTCCTATTGGCTCCCACTGCCACCTGGTCGAGACCCCTGCTGATCCCGCACCGTCTCCACCCTTCTGTCTAACACTCTCCGCTCAAAGGCGACTAGGCCCACCACAGCCTTGCCTGCACGCCCTGCTGGCTCCGCCTCTGTCCAGCTCCACCCTTCCTGACCCATCACAGGCTTTCAGCAGGACCTGCTGGCCCTTCCTGGTCTGCTGGGTCCTCATGGACACTCACGTGGGAGGCTCTGTACCTGCTGGGGTCTTGGAGGCCCATTTGGTGAAGGAACAGTTTTTGGAGTCCCAGCTTCGCGTGGTGAGATCGAGATCACTGCGACCATGGGAAGGGACTTCACAGGCCTGTTTCCTCATCTTCACGTGGACTTGCTGGTTCCTGCCCAGGCAGGATGCTTGCAGGTCTGCACGACCTGGTCTTTGTGAAGTACCTGGTGTGGATGGCACACGCTCCAAAAACAGCTGTTCTACTTTCTTGTCATGTTCCCTCTGCTGGGGGTGACAGTGACTATATTTTTTGGTTGATTTTCCCTCCAGCCTAGAAGCAGCTCCCTCTGTCAGCCCTTGCCCCTCCTTGGGACAATCTGGGCACTGATTTTGGATGGAGAGAGTGGGACTGGGCAGGAGGCCTCCTCAGAAGCCACTCCGTTACAATAGGACGGCCACCAGCCTCCCACTTGGGGGCCTCCCTCTGGAAGCCCAGGATGCCCCCTGACGGTCCCTGTCTCCTGTGCCCTTAGCAAAGCCAACCCAAGTCTGCCAGCGAGAAGTCGCAGCGCAGCAAGAAAGCCAAGGAGCTGAAGCCAAAGGTGAAGAAGCTCAAGTATCACCAGTACATCCCCCCGGACCAAAAGCAGGACAAGGGGGCACCCCCCATGGACTCCTCCTACGCCAAGATCCTGCAGCAGCAGCAGCTGTTCCTCCAGCTGCAGATCCTCAACCAGCAGCAGCAGCAGCACTATAACTACCAGACCATCTTGCCGGCCCCCCCAAAGTAGGAACCCCCTCCCCCTCCTGCCCATCCCACCCGTGGGCACCCCAAGATAGGCAGATGCCCGGTCTCGGGTGGGTGAGCCCCAGCCTTCAAGGATCCTTTGGTCTGGATCCTGCAGGAATGGCCCCACACCATCTCCACCCAGCCCTGGGGTGGAGGGCCTTGGTGGGTGCTCATTTCTGCCTTATCTTTTCCTCAGGCCGGCAGGTGAGGCTCTGGGAAGTGGTGGGGTCCCCCCGATGCGCAGCCTTTCCACTACCAATACCAGTTCCAGCTCGGGCACCCCTGGGCCCAGTGGGCTGGCACGTCAAAACAGCACCTCTCTGACTGGCAAGCTGGGAGCCCTGCCCGCCAACCTGGACGACATGAAGGTAGGTGGTCACCCCAAAGTTAGGGAAAGCCGCCAGCCCAGGGTCCACGCTCATGGCAGGCAGAGCAGAGCTCCAGCCTTGGGTCTGCTCTGGCAGAGGCACCTGGAATCTGTTCAAGGCCTGCTTGGCTCTGGTCGAGACACCAGCCTTGTCACGGGTCATGACCACAAACGGCATCAGCCAGCACCTGTCCAGGGCCTGGGGCTCACTCAGCCCTTGTGTGTCTCTCCTCTTCCTCAGCCTCTTTGGTGCAGTGTGGGAAACGGGGAGTATTCCCCACTGAGGATGAGCTGTTGGAGGTGGCTCAGGATGGAGGTCTGGCTGGTGGCAGAGCCCTGATTCAGACTCGGGGCTGCCCACTTCAGCACCTCCACCCTTTCCACTCTGCATTTAACCCCTCTCCTATCTGCTGGGCCAGTGCTGAGCCACCTGGGAAGGGAGTGGCCCATCCTCGTGTCCTGGGACCTTGGAGGGGCGGGTGATGTTTGGGGCCTGGCCTGTTTTCTATGCCTGATCAGCATATACGGTGGATCGAATTCTCCTCCGAGAGTTTGCCCCCTGAACCAAGCAGGCCCCTCCTGAGCAGGCCTGCTTACAGCAAGTCACAGGCCTCGTGCGGGCATTTGGGCACAGGCTTCAGCGCCCATCAGACCTCGCCATAGCTCCTAACTCTGCCGCTCGTTAGCTCTGTGATCTCAGAGAAATCGTTTTTCTTTTGTGAGCTCAGTTTTCTCATCTGTAAAATCCAGTCACTTCATTAAATATGTATTGAGCACTAGCATCATGCTGGGGCTGGAGATAGCTGAGGGCACGTCCCGCCCAGACGCGGGATAGGGAGCATTTTAACCAGGCCCCCGGGATGGTGAGGATGGAAAAAGGGAGGAGGCTGGGGGCATGTGTCTTACCCTCAGGGCTGTGGGAGGGTCAGACGGTTGATGTATAGTTACTGACCAATGAGGCCTGAATAGACGAGGCCTAACAGACAAAAAGCTTGTCCCTCCCATCCTTCCCTGGTGCCCTCTTTCCTGGACCCAGTTCCCTTCATCCCCTGCTGCCCTGACTCTCCATCCCCTTGCAGGTGGCAGAGCTGAAGCAGGAGCTGAAGTTGCGGTCACTGCCCGTCTCTGGCACCAAGACAGACCTGATTGAGCGCCTGCGTGCCTACCAAGAACAAGTCAGCCCTGCCCCCGGAGCCCCCAAGGTCCCTGCTGCCACCTCTATCCTGCCCAAGGCTGGCGAGGTGGTGGTAGCCTTCCCGGCAGCCCGGCTAAGCACGGGGCCTGCTCTGGTGGCAGCAGGCCTGGCCCCAGCCGAGGTGGTAGTGGCTACGGTGACCAGCAATGGAGTGGTGAAATTTGGCAGCACGGGCTCCACACCCCCCGTGTCTCCCACTCCCTCAGAGCGTTCACTGCTTAGCACGGGAGATGAGAACTCCACACCTGGGGACACCTTTGGCGAGATGGTGACATCACCACTGACCCAGCTCACCCTGCAGACTTCGCCACTGCAGATCCTTGTGAAGGAGGAGGGTCCCCGGGCCGGGTCCTGCTGCGTGAGCCCTGGGGTGCGGGCAGAGCTGGAGGGGCGTGACAAGGACCAGATGCTGCAGGAAAAGGACAAGCAGATTGAGGAGCTGACCCGCATGCTCCGGCAGAAGCAGCAGCTGGTGGAGTGGCTCAGGCTGCAGCTGGAGCAGGAGAAGCGGGCCCAGCAGCCCCCGCCAGCCCCAGCCCCAGCCCCCGCCCCCACCCCTGCCCCTCTTGGCGTCCCAGTGAAGCAAGAAAACAGCTTCTCCAGCTGCCAGTTGAGCCAGCCATCCCTGGGCCCTGCTCATCCCTTCAGTCCCAGCCTGGCGGCCCCCACTCCCCACCACGTAGACACTTGTGCCCTGGTGCCTCCTTCGGTGGTGGTGAAGCAGGAAGCCATGCTGCCTGAGCCGGAGCCGGCCCCCACACCCCAGCTGCTTCTGGGCCCACAGGGCCCCAGCCTCATCAAAGGGGTGACACCTCCCACCGTCATCACTGACTCCGCAGGGACCCACCTTGTCCTCACCGTGACCAATAAGAATGCAGACAGCCCTGGCCTGGCCAGTGGGAGCCCTCAGCAGGTACCTGGGTGTGGGAGGGCAGGGGACACAGGAGTGTGTGTGGTACTTCTAATGACAGCCTGTTTACTGGCCGCCCCCATGGTGGGGCAGTTAGGCTGCCTTCCTTTAATCTTCCCTTCAACCCTCCATCCCCATGTCACCAAGAAGGTACTAAGATCTGGGATGGTTAAGGGACCTGCCCATGACCCCACACCCATGAGGGTAGAACCATCAGTGACTGCCCATCTCCTCGGGCCATTGCTACCAGAACATCCTGCACCCTGGCAGAGGGCCCTGAGCAGCCCCCACCCAGGCTAGGGCCCACTCTTGCCTCTGCTCCATGGGAGTGGGACAGGGCCCCAGGTGAGGGTCAGGGAGGGGCTGCTGGGCTGGGCCTGCGGTGACCTTCACTCCTCTTCCCCACTCAGGCCAGCTGTCCCACCAAGGTGCCATTGGCAGCTGACTCCCTGCTGCTGCCACCTTCACAGCCCAGACCCGTCACCCAGCCTGCTTTAGGCTTTGTGTGGCCTCAGCCCTGCAGAACAGGGTGGAGGGGACAGTGACAGGAACCAGGCACCTCAGGATGGGAGACAAGGGCTCTGAGACAGAAAGGGAGGAATTAGCCCAGAGCGCCCCCTCCCTCTCATGTGGCTTGCACCAAACTCCATGCTCACCCCACCCTCTGCAGGATCAGAGGTCAGGACCTCCCCCAACCCTTATTCCTTCTTCCCCAACGGCTTTCATGAAAGCTTCCCGAAAGCCAGTGCAGCTGGCCAAGATGGCCTGGCCTAGACGGTAGGCGCCTCCTGCCTGTGCTCCTTGAGTGTGCAGATCCCTGGGCTGTTTCCCTCACGCCAATCACTGCTCCTCTCCCCATTCTGTCCAGCCCTTGTCCCAGCCTGGTTCTCCAGCCCCTGTCCCAGCAGCCCAGATGGACCTGGAGCACCTGCCACAGCCCCCATTTGGGACCTCCACTTCTCTGCCAAAGAAGGAGCCGCCTGGCTATGAGGAAGCCGTGAACCAGCAGCCCAGACAGCAGGTGAAGAAGGTAGACTGAGGCCTGGCCACGTTGGGCGGTACCTAGGCTGCTGGGCTCCCGCAATTCCCCCGAGTCCAGCTGGAGGATAGGGGTAGGCAGGAGCCAGTCTTGTGAGGTCAGAGAGGCCTGAGGGAGGGGGCCATTCTGGTCTGGCTGCCGGCTCAGGGGCAGAGGGGAAGAAGGCCTATCTATACCTTGAGCCTGGCTGGGGGCCTCCTGTTGTAGATTTTCATCTTTTTTTTCTTCCTATTTTTCTCCCATAGGAAAATGGTTCCTCGAGCCAACAGATGGATGACCTGTTTGACATTCTTATTCAGAGTGGAGGTAAGGCCCCAAGCTGCCTCCCCAACCTCCTCCTTTCTCCATAGGTTGTCTCCAGCCCTCAGTGGGTTGATCGATTGTGGTTTTGTACTTTAGATACAGCAAGGGCTGAGATGCATGCTCTCCAGGGGCTGGGGGAGGGGGTGTAGCAACACACGTTCGCTTTACCCAGCACCCACTGCCTGGCAGGCACTGTCCCTGCAGCCCTGGGACATAGCAATGAGCAAAACAGTGAATGCCTTTTTGTGAGAGATAAACGACAAAACAAATTATATCATGTTAGAGAAGTGCTATGAAGAGGGAAGAGAGGTCTGAGGTGCATGGTGGGTGGTTGGTGAACAGGTGCAGAAGTCAGGGCAGGGACAGATCACAAGGCCTCCTGGGTGCAGGGTAGAGGAGCTTTGACTCTGACGCCAGAACCACACATCTTTGAGGAGTGTTCAGGTGTAAGGGCAGGAGCCAGGAGTGATCCAGGCCAGAGGCCAGGGACGAGGCTTAGGAGGCAGTGGTGAAGCGGAGAAGGCTGGAGCCTGGGTGTATTTTGGAGTGCCAGTGTGACTTCCTAATGGATTAGGAAGGATGACACCAAGGGTTTCAGCCTGAGTCACTAGGATGCAGCTGTGTGACTGCGGGGGAGCTCCGGTGGGGTGTGTGGGGGGGGGACATATAAGGTGCAGCCTCAGCTGGGCGTAGATTATGTCCCCAAAACTGGAGGAATCAATGTGGACACCGCCCAGGTGAGGTCTGGGCTGGAGGCAGTAATTTGGGAGTTGTTGGTGTCTAGATTGGCAGTCAGGAGGCTGGGTGAACAGAAAGAATGAGATGGAGTTGGGGACACAAGCAGATGAGGCTGGGCAGTGAGCCGCTTCTGAAGCCAAGGGCTGCTGATGGGCGGTCAGGGAAGACGGGGACCTCAGCCAGGGTGTTACAGTGGGACTGGGGGCAAGTGCCTTTTAAGTGGGTTGAAGGTGTGGGAAGCAGCAGGTCTGGAAGAGTCTGAGCACAGGGATTTCATTGGTGGCAGCAGGCACGAGGCAGAGTGTGTGGAAGTTCTCTTTCAGCTGCTTAATTACGTCAATAGGAAGAGGATTAAGATGGGAAGGTAAAGTGGGAGTCCAGCCATGGAATTGTACACTTTAAAATGGTCAATTTTATGTCAACATTTTATTTAAAAAAAAAAAAGCTCAAAAGCTGACATTACTTTCAAGGTCACTGATTCTGATCTTAGGGAGACTCCCTGGATGCCAGGGTCTGCAGTGGGGCCTCAGGGCAGGTAGCACTGAGGCTCCTGGGCAGTTGGAGAGGCCTGGGTGTGAACTTCAGAGGAACTGAAACTGGAGGGATGAGGCTGTCCAAGAACAGAAGAGAGATTGTGCAGGAAGCGGAAAGGGAGCAGGCCTTGAGCTCCAGCCTCGAGAGATGGCAGAGAAAGAGGAGGGGAGTGCTGAGAAGTGGCCAGAGAAAAGGTGGCAAGGATGCCAGGAGAAGAGGGCATTTGAATCAGATGGGTAGAGTGGCAGCATCCTGTGGTGGCATTTGGGCAGGTTGACAAGCTACCTCAGAGGGAGCTGGTCATCTGGTCAGAGCAGTGTGTCCAGCTGGGACGGGAGCAGAGTGGGTGGGAAGATAGGACCTAGGTCAGGGAGCAAGCCTGGTTTCTGCATAATTTTGATTTATTATGGTAAAATACACAAGATTTGCCATTTAACCACTTTAAATGTACAATTTAGTGGCATTAAGTACATTCAGTGTTGTGCAACCATCACCACTGTTTTAGAACTTCTTCATCCTATACTGACACGCGCTTACCCATTTCACAGTAACCTGCCCTCCTCCCCCCAGTTCCTGGTAACCTTTGTCCTATTCTGTCTCCATGATGTTGACTCTCCTAGGCACCTCACATAAGTGGAATCATGCAGTCTTTGTCCCCGTTGGTTCTGCCCTCAAGATTCATACACATAGCATGTGCAGAATTTCCTTTTTATGGCTGAATACTTCATCAAATGGGTGTATCGCATTGTGTTGATCCATTCTCCGCTGATGGACACCCAGGTTGTTTCCACCTCTTGGTTACTCTGCATAATGCTGCTGTGCACATGGGTGTACAGATCTCTCAGTCCCTGCGCGCTTTTCACTTATTTTGGGTGTATCCCCAGAAGTGGGGTTGTTGGATCATAGTTTTCGATATTTACCTTTTTGAGGAACCACACAACTTTTCCATAGCAGCTGCACCTTTCATGCATACCAGCAGTGGACAGGGTTCAGATTTCTCCATATCACTAATAAGTATATTCTTTATAGCCATCCCAGTGGATAAGCGGTACCTCATTGTGGTTTTGATTTGCATTTTCCTGATGACTAGTGATGTCAAGCATTTTTTCATGTGCCTATAGGCCCTTTGTGTACCTTCTATTGGAGAAATTTTGAGTCCTTTGCCATTTTCAGTTGGGTTTTGTTGTGGATATGAATCACTCATCAGATACATGATTTGTAAATATTTCCTCCCAATTCCATGGGTTTTCTTTTCAGTCTCTTGATAGTGTCCTTTGATGTACAAATTTTAAATTTTACTGTAGTCCAGTTTTCTTGTAAGAATTTGGTATTTTTAGCTCCTGAATTTAGATCTTTGACCCATTTTGAGTTAACTTTTATACATACATGGTATAAGGTAGAATCCAACTTTAGGTCCTATTGAGGCCTGGTTTCTGACATCCTTTCACTTTCTTGATTGTTAGAAATTTCAGCAGATTTCAAGGAGCCACCATCCCTGCCAGGGAAAGAGAAGCCCCCCACAACAGCAGCCTGTGGGTCGCCCCTGGCCACGCAGTCCCCACCCTCTGCTGAGCTTCCCCAGGCTGCCCTGCCCTCGACCTCACCTGTCCTTCCTGGGCGCCTGGAGGACTTCCTGGAGAGCAGCACTGGGCTACCCCTGCTGACTGGTGGACATGAGGGGCCAGAGCCCCTCTCCCTCATTGACGACCTCCACAGTCAGATGCTGAGCAGCTCTGCCATCCTGGACCACCCCCCCTCACCCATGGACACCTCGGAATTGCACTTTGCCCCTGAGCCCAGCAGCATGGGCCTGGACCTGGCTGATGGCCACCTGGACAGCATGGACTGGCTGGAGCTGTCATCAGGTGGCCCCGTGCTCAGCCTGGCCCCACTCAGCAACACGGCCCCCAGCCTCTTCTCCACGGACTTCCTTGATGGCCATGACTTGCAGCTGCATTGGGATTCCTGCTTGTAGCTCTCAGGTTTGCCAGGGAACTGGAGGGGCTGGAAGCTGGGGAGCCTCAGGAACTCTAGGGAGCTCAGCTCTCTCCTGCGGGATCCAGCTCTGCGTGGTCGTGAGTCCTGACAATCACAGGCCCTGCTTTCCCCTCCCTGGCTCAGGGTCACCCAGGGGTTTTGGAGACCTGGGCAGGCCAGGGACATTCTATTTGACCTCCTTTTGTGAGGTTGGAGGTACCTGCCTGGCTACAGTTTGCTCAGGTGGGCGAGGTATGAACTCCCTCCTTCCCTTCTCTTCCCTACAAGGGAAAGAAAAACTGGGCCTCTACCTCTCCATTCCCCGTGACCCTAACCCCAGGTTTCCTAGGCTGGGGGAGGCGCTGCCATGTTAGTGTCTTGCTGTAGAGTAACCATTTAGTGGTTGGTGGCAAACATGTTCTGTACAGGTGTACATACCTCTATATTATATATCGCCATACATATATACATATATTTTTGGGGGGTAAGAGGTGGATGAAGTTCCTTCCCATCCTACTGTGCACATATAGAAGGGTCTGAAGACCCCTGCTCCACCCATCACGTGTGTTTGACATGTAGACACCCCATCACAGCCTGTACCCCACCTGTCCTGCTCGTTATCAGTGCCACGAGGGCAGAGGTGCATCTTGGCCACCTGCCCACATTCCGTCCTGCTGCCTCACTGCAGCCACCACGGCCCTGGGACAGGAGGGGCATTAGCGCCATAGTGGGGCCAGATGTAGCCGTCAAACTATGGCTTCCTCCTGCCCTGGGGCCCAGCCTCCCTTCTGGCTGTCACTGTTATTCTAGGGGTTTGGGGAGGGGGGGGGTCACCAGTGCTGGGACAGGGGTGGGGAAACTGTGTGAACTTTTTAAAATAAAAGAAAAAAGACCAGCTTGTTAGTCCCTCTTGGTCAATCTATGGATGAGGTGGGTGGTATGGCTGGGCCCTACACCCTAACCCCACCTTCCCAGCCAGGCTGTCCGTTCTAGGCCATTCCAGAAAGGACAGAACCTTGGACATAGGGTTCTATGGTCCCAATTGGATTGAAGACAGAAGGTGCTTCTCAAAGACAATTTATTTACAGGCCAAGGAGCCTTTAGCCACCCCCACTCCCTTCCTGAGCAAAAGCGGACAGAGGTGGCTCTCTACCTCCTCATGAGGTTTTTGGTCAGTACAAGTAGTGAGGGTGGGGCCTGGAGCCTCCATAGACACTGGGAGGGATAGAGTGAGCCAGGCTGCCACCAGGGTGGTGTCTCCAATCTCCCTACCATGGTGCCTGGCCAAACTCCAGTGTCGTCTTCCCTTGGTCCCGTAGCTTGGGTTAGGCCTGGACCACGTCAGCCCCCATCCCAACGCCCTTCTCTTAAGGAAGCAGCTGCTCTGATAGCCGACGGGTTGGGAGAGGTCTGGGTGTGACAGGGCCATTGGAGGAAGTGTGTCACCCATCTATATCCCAGCTGAAAAGGTGGTGCTTCACCAGCATGTCCTGGACGCCCTCCTTCAGGGGCTTCTTCTCCTCCTGCACAGAGCGAGGAAGCCCAAGGTGGCAGGGGCCCTGCCTCAGCCACCACACCCACCGCAGCCCTCCAGGAGGAAGGCAGGTTGCTGGGCTAAGGACCAACCCCCACCACCCACCTCTCTCTTCATAGGAAGTTCCCAGTCCTGGGAGAGGCTGAAGGCAAAGCAGCAGAGGACACTGGAGGGGAGGAAGGGGAAGCTGTCAGTCACCCTCAGGTCAGCTCCTTCGGTCCCCCTACCCCAGGGCCACCAGAGCAGGGTCCTCACCGGAGCTCACACTTGATCTGGACCCAGCCGGGGCTTCGCAGGAAGGACCAGGGCTGGTACCACTTCTCCACGGTTGGCAGGCTGGAGCAGAGCACCTCCAACCACAGGTGTAGGACCTGCTCACTGGGGACAGGTGGGGGGAGTGGGCCATCCACAGAACCTTCTGAGGACCATGAGTGGGGTTCTCCCCTCCAGTGCTGGACTGGGCTATCGCCACTTCAGGGTTCCTCTAACCCCAGCCCCCTTTCCTCCACTTCTCAGCCTCCTCAGGTGACCCCCAACTCCTTTACTCTCGGCCCCTGGCTCCAGCTCCCTCACACTGGGAGACACACAGGGCCCTCAGTCCTATCAGCTCTTTCCTCTGCATCTGAGAGTAAAGGAGGTGGGATCACTGACCCCTGCTGGCCAGTCCAGGAGTGAAGTGCATACTCACCAGCCCGCTGGGGTCACAGCCATATTCTGAGCATGTCTCGGGGACATTTGTGCCTCTGCAAACCACTCCTCCTCCCACCCCAGAGGGCCAATCCAGGAACATCTCCTTCACCCAGACCTGAGCCTCACAAATGCCCAAGGCCTCTCAGGCAGGCACCCCTCCCTAGTTTGCTGCAGCAGACTCATTTCTGGGAAGCCCCTTCACTGGTCATGTTGCTTAAAGTCTGTGCTTCATAAATCCTCAAGCACCTTCCCCATAAAGCAGCAGCTGGTCTCGTGCTGGAGAAAGATCATTGGGGGTCACCCTTGCCACTTTCCATTTGTCTGTCCAACTCCTGGGGGCCTAGAAGGCCCAGCTCACAGCCCCTGCTCCCCCCAAGGGCCACAGCCCAGGCTGCCACTCATCCAACTGTGGACTGTCACGCCCACGGTAGGCACAGACACTCACTTGAGCCCCACACAGATGAGAGAGCGGAGCTTGACATCCATTTGTGCATGTGCAGCGTCGTGGGTCACATTCACAGACTGCACTGCCTGGGAGGACACAGCTGTCACACAGGCGCCCCAGCTGCCAGCCCAGGAGCCAGACCTCACCCATGGCCCTGCCTACCCGATAGAGCAGTTCCTCCGGGGTCAGAACTTTGCCATCTTCATCCAACCTGGGGGAGAGGGGAACCCAAAGTTGCCAGATGTGCAGGCTTGGGCTGCTCTCTCCCGCCATGATGCTGCCAGGACCCCTGCCAACGTGGGGGACTGGGGCCCAGTTACCTGTACGTCTTACACAGCACCAGGCGAGAATACACTGAGTCGAAGTCTCTCTCCACCTCCCGGCCTGCTGCCTGGGGGTTGTAGGGAGAGAACATCAGGGACAATGGGGTAGGTTCCAAGTTAAAGCTACAGGGTCCAAGTCAGTGCACATCACCAACCCATGAGCTCCTCCTGCCAGCTCCACAGAGCCCAGGGACCTGGGGAAAAGGATGGTGGAGGACATGGGTCCAGCTACGGACTCACCTCCTCAATAAACAGCCAGGGGTGGCAGGCGCCCCCGAGCAGAGACGGCTTCTTCAGTCCGTGTTCAAACAGGGCCTTGAGGGCTGGGCAGAGGGTCCCTCGCACAAGGTCTGTGACGCCCTCCGTTACAGAGTCATCCCCCGCGATGGAGTACTGTTGGTGGGGGACGGGGTCTGAGAGGCCCCAGCCCTGCACCTGCAGCCAGTCACCCTGTCCCTGTCCTCACATCCCCTGCCTCAAGCCAGAACTCGCTCAGGACACAGGCCCTGGCCAGGAGGGTGCAGGCCTTGCCAGGGTGGAGGCAGCAGCAGCTCCCAGGGGCAGCCCTGCCCTGTGCCCTTCTTACCTCTTTGCTCCGTTCATCCAGGACTTCCACAAACTTGGCTGGAAACCAGCCTGTGGGAGAGGCAGGGTCCTGTGAGGAGCCTGGTGTCCCCACACTTCCACCCCCCCACCCCCTCAATGGGGCTGAGGACAGGCTCAGCCAAGTTCCTGGTGAGGGGAAGAGGCCAGGAGGGATATAGCAAAGAGTGACCAGCCTCACCTCTTAGGCCATTCAGCTCCCCGACCCAGCAGTGCTCATCCTTCTGAGAAATGATCTGTAGAGAAAAAGAGCAGGAGGCAAAGCTGTGGTTGCCTGGGCCCAGTGCCTCGCACACCATCCGGTTTCATCCTCAGCCAGGTGGAAATACTCGGCACGGAGAGGGCCTGGCTGAGGCTGAATAATCTGGCTGTACCCTCTGGGCTGGCAGGTGGCAGGACCAATGCTACCTGCTCCCAGCAACCAGGCTCCACCTGCCTCTGAGCACCCACCTCCCAAGCAAGCCTCGCCCCACGCACCGTGATGATGTCATTCTTGCGAAAGCCTAGCTCATCGTCATCGTGTCGCTCGAAGTCTAGCAGGGCCTTGGCCCTGCGCCGGTGGCTGCGTGAGCAGGCCACATAGTTCTCGTGGTCCCGCTGGTGGCTCTCCATGCTGTAGTCTGGAGTCAGCTCCTGCCAGAGAAGTGGGAAGGCCCACCAAGGGGAAGGTGCCTCAGGATAGGGCTGGGAAAGGAGAGCCCCCCCAAGTCGACCCATTGGGCACACAACTGGGAGCATGTGACTCACCACATTACAGTTTTTGGGGTCAGTGCACTGGAAATGGCGTGCCACACGGAGGATGGCTTCCCGGAGGTCAGCCACCAGTTCCGTCTGCTTGATGTTCTTGGCCTTGAGTGCCTCTAGGTCGTCCTCCCCTGAGGGTCCAAAAGGCTATGACAGCCATGGCTCCCGCCTGGTCCCCTTGCCAACGCCAAGGAAGCTCAGGGTCCACCCCGCAGTGTGAGGATGATGGACACCCCCCGTCTTTGCCGCCCTCCAACCCCAGGCTCCAAGAGCTTAGACTCGACTGGCCGTGAAGAAACCGCTGAACTGGGCCAGGACTCACCGAAGAGCAGGGAGGTGAAACCAGACTTCCTCCGCTGCGTCCTGCGACGAACCACCTGCAGGCACGGGAATGGGTCAGCAGCGGGAGGGCTCCCGGGGCCCAGCCGAGTAGAGGGAATCTCGGCACCAGAGGAAGGGCACAGAGCCTTCCTGGGGGCAGCTCGGGCCTCTCACAGGGACTACCTCGTGGGAAATGGCCTCCGAGGCCGGCTGGGGTCAGAAATGTACTGTCAGTTCAAAGCTGGGTCTTCCTACACCCAAACTGGATGTCACCCCACAGCTGGGTCTGCTGGGCCAGGCCTAGCCTGGGTGCTGGGTTGGGGAGGGGACGGCACAGCGGGGGTCCTCATGGCTCCTCCCTCACAGGCCCACCTGAGAGAGGTTGGTGGTGGTGCTGGTCCCCAGCAGCTGACCCTGGTCTGCAAGCAGGTAGGCCAGGTGCTTGCGGCGCTGGGTCTCCACAGCCACGTCCGTTAGGGAGCCAGCTAGCCGCATGGCCTCCCCCAGCAGCAGCTCCGCGTCCTCCATCTGCGAGGGGATGTCCGACAGCGTGTTGAAGATGGAGGCCGAGTTCTCTGACTGGATCAGCTCCTCCTCCTGGGCCATATGAGGGGAAAGGGGGAGTCACTGCCTGGCACCAGGCCCATGAGCTGCCCCCAATCAGCACCCAGCCATGTGTGACTTCCTGGAAGATCAGCTGAGCACAAGGGAGTCCCTGGCCCCAGGAGATTCCCCCTGCAGGGGCTCTCAGGAGGGGCTCGTGCTGAGGCCACAGGATGCTGAAGCGTGGACCCCACTGCATGCCCCAGAAGAGGAGCACCAGCTGCGTCTGGCCCACGGGCTCCTCATTGGCAGCTGGGCAGCGTGGCCCGGGGGTGGGGGGCGGGGCTGCAGCCGCACCTTGAGGCGCAGCATGCCCAGCGTGGCCTGGAAGAGCACCAGGGAGCCCTCATAGAAGAACAGGTCCCAGAGGCGCAGCAGCAGCTTGATGTGCACCACGCTGGCGAAGGCCGTGAGGAACCAGTGCAGCGTGATCAGGGACAGCTCTGTGGACACAACCAGGGACACTGGCATGAGATAGTCTGAGAGAAGGGGCACCGCCAGGCGCTGGGGAAGGGTGAAAAGTGTCTCCCAAAAAGCAGGAGGCCCATCCTGCTCCAAGG